GGGGTCGCTGCGGGGCCCACGGTGGCACCGCCCCCCCCTTTGGGCGTCCCCCGGGGGTGTCCCCCGGGGTGTCCCGCTCGGCTCTGCCGGGACAAGGTGTCGGGCACAGGCAAGTTCCCCGCCACCGGGTGTCGGGAACGGCAGGAACGCCCCAAATCCTCCTCGGTTGTGTCTCGATTTACCGACGTCCCCAGGTTGGTTTGGGTTTTTATTTCTTTACCGCGGTAGGTCAGAGGCGCTACGAGCGAGGGCAAACTGAGGGTGTTCCGTAGTGTCTTGGCTGTTGAGGTGGGTAAAGGACCTTTCCTGAAAGCGAGGTGGGGACACCTGCCCTGACACCGGATCGGCAGGCAGTGAGGTGTTAATCTGAATTTTAACCCGCCGTGGGCAGAGGAGGCAGAGCACAAACCCTGCATTCCCTCACAGGACCCCGGAGCTCACTGCCTGGGCAGAAGATATTATTAAATTTATTTTCTCTCTATTTGTCAGCCTGGAATTAACTGCCTTTTCTTCCTGCTGTTTTATTCCTTTTATAAAATCAGCTGAACTCTGGGAATATTTGGCCTGAACTCTTGCCGCAGCATCCGCCTGGATCAAGTTGTGTTTAGCATTAGGAGGATACAGGAATGGGAAAACAAGCATGGAGATAGGAAACTTAACCTTAGCAGACGTGTGATGTTCCTGCAGGTTTGATAAAAACTGGCTGATGTGTATCAGGAATCTTGTGTTGATGTCAGAGGAGCAGCAGTGTGGGGAGCTCAGCCGCTCCTTCCCATCCCAGACTTGGGAGACGTGGCAGGTGGTTGGGAGGGCTGGGTGGCAGCTGGGGGGGGGTTTAGTAGGAAAGCTAGAGAACCAGAGGAAGAGGAAGGTCACAGGGAAAATGAGGGTGTTGAAGAGTGAGAGTAAGGAGCACAGCATATAAATATTTCGTGTCTATGTTTCATTAGTTCATTGTTAATGAAATAATTTGTTTCGCTTTCTTAATCTGGTAAGATGGGGAAGACAGTGGTAACAGTTCTGGTCAGAAAGGCTATTTTTCTCCCTCTTGAATATCCTTTTCTCGTATTTGTTGCTGTCGAGCCCTAAAGATGA